ACAACAACAACAATAATAATAATAATAACAATAACTACAACAACAACAACAATAATAATAATAATAATAATAATAACTACAACAACAACAACAACAACAATAATAATAATAATAATAACTACAACAACAATAATAATAATAATAATAATAACTACTACAATAATAATAATAATAATAATTTGAATCCAAAGTTTGGTTATAAGTGTAAATTATTATTAATATTAAAATCATAAAGTAATCATAATTAATATATATTATTATTATTAATATTAATCAGAATAATAATGAGTGCAGCTGTCGCCGCTGTAGCTGCGCAGATGCTCGTGACGCGCGGCTCGATCTGACGCAGACGGAGACTCTCTGAGACTCTCTGAGAGCGACTGCTGATGAAGCCACTGAAGATCGGAGCGCTGCGCTGGACATGAGACACACAGCAGGTGAGCTCGAGCCTCATTCCTGTCATTCTCATAATGCAGCCACGCACAGCACTCTGGGGAATCTGCCCGTTGCGCAGTCACAGATGCAGAGACATCAGGAATTACGCAGCACATTCACTGATGACAGTCCAGAAATTACGCGTGAGAAAATCACACGCCTGCAAGAATGTTTGTATGAAACGATGCAAGCAGAGCAATAATGATGAATCAACATGTCTGCATGATAGAGTAGGGCGCTTTGTCTCTGAGACGAGCTCTGTGCTATTTTTAGACACTGCTGTAGTGTGTGTGTGTGTGTGTGCAGCTGTTTGAATCACTTCTGCTCTTATATGTTCACTTCTTCTCAGATAATATCAATGCTGTGACCTTTAGCAGATGCGCCGACATTACAACAACAGTGCTTACATACACATATATTTAATTGTTTGATAAATTATTGCTAGGGACAATTTAGTAGTCTGTGGATATTGGTAGGAACGTGTCAAAGCATCTCTACTAAACTCTACAGCCTTGATTGTTGTTGTTGTTTTACAGCCAATACTGTTCATTTTAATTGTGCTATAAAATATACAGCACCAGTGTTTTCTCCTTAAACACATCTCATTTAAGCATGAACAGCTGTTGTAAAAAGTTGAATTCTTTATGCAAACAACACATTCAATTATCATTCAGTTGTGAGGCTTTTAGTGCAGATTTCAGGGCCCTTCAATATGCAATGACATCTAATGAACTAAAAACATTGTCAATATGTGTTAATCAAGAGTGTAGACGCTGTGACGTGTTCCCTTCAATATCCAGCGACTACTAAATTGTTCCTAGCAATAATTTTGATGTCTGTTGTCGGCCGTTACTCCCCACCAATGCCACAATCAAACCTACACCCTTGGTGTTAAAGTTGTCTAAGAACGTCTAAAAGCAATGCATGCGCCTCATGTTCATAATATGAAAGTATAAACTATCTTTTATTTATATAAAGAGCGAAATCTTGAGTTCACACCACAGCGCATGGGGTTTTATCTTCTACAGGACGTGTGCTTTGGTGTTTCGGTCACGTTTAACTTCGGCTGGACTTCATGCCGAGTGACGGATCTACAATGTTCACTGGTGCAACTTTCCAAAGTGTCCTGTTGGTGGCGATCTGTCTCGTAAGCTGGGCCGTCCCACATGGGAGACTTGAACGTCCAGGACCCCTTCGTGGAGAAGATAAAGAGTCAGCATCAGCTGACAGATCACTGGATTCAGACTCCTGCAGTCTGACGGTCCCCAACACATCCCTGAGCATCACCGGTGGAGAACCCAACACCACTCCAGCATCTGCAGCGGATGGAAACGAGGACAGACGGTTCAGGATGGATGAGCGACTGAACACCACGCCTCCGTCCTCTGGAGATTCTCATGGCTCTCTGTCTCTGACGACGCCTCCTGCTGGAGATCTGGAGAGGAGCGACACGCTTCACTGGAACTCATCTGCGGAGGACAGAGGACCGACTCCTTCAGCTCTTCAGTCAGACGCGTTCAGCCTCTCGCCGCTCACCAGCGGAGACTCGGCGGCTGGATCCGGACTGAGCTTCAGCTCCAGACTGCTGGACTCGCCGGATACCTGGACCGAAGCGGATCGTCTGCAGGCAGGTGAGGGGACGATGCACAAATGACCATTGTTTCGCTCAGAGTTCACTCATTCATGCTCTCAGTTATCTGTCATTGAAGTATTTCAGACCCAAAAGATCTACAAGCTCTACAATGAATGTGGAGCAGCTCAGTTCATATTGAGATCTCTGACTTTTGATGTTTTTATTTTACAATAAAAAACATCAAAATGTATTTTTGCTACTTGATATAAAATAAACAATTACTGAAATCATAAAAAAAACTTTATACAATTTTTTTAAGTTATTTAATGTCAGCTAGTTACAAAGGCAACATTTCTCATTTTCATTTAGTTAATAACTAAAAACTGAAATTAGACATATTTTAGAAAACTAATAAAACTGACAAAAATGCACAACAAAATTACTAAAACTTTTAAAATTAATACAGAAGAATATACAAATAAAATGGAATGCAAAACTATTATTTTAGTATCGAGATAATATTAGTTTTAATTTTGAATTAGGCTTGTTTATATTTTTGCATTTTCATTTTAATTTTAGTTTATATTTTGTCATTTGTCTATACAGTTTTTTTATGAATTTTTGTTTCAGTTTTAAATGTAGTTATTTTAGTACATCGTTAAACTAAATGAAAATGAGAAATGTTTCTTTGGCAACTAGCTGAAATAAAATAATTTTTCATTGTTTTAACAAAAGCGTTCTTTTATGGTTTTAGTTTTAGTTAACTATGATAGCCTGCATGGTTCAAAATATTAACACAAATTATGAGAGTATCAATCATACTAAATTACCACAGAAGCAGCTTCACAGCTTTACAGCTTCACAGTAATACACAGGAAAATAACAGTGTTAATGTTCCAAAATGCATCAATTATGAAGCTGTAAAGCAGCTCTACAGAAAACAATAGAGTCACTATTCAGATCAGTTCAGTTCAATAACTGTGTCCGTGCTGTAAAGTTTCTAAATCACACTGAATGATGTCTGAGAGCGTCCCGCTCCACTTTGAACCCTCAGCGGATGCCGCCGGCAGCCTAATTACTTTCTATTTTGAGAGCTGCTGGAAGAAAGTGGAACTGAATGCTAAAAGAGGCGACACACATTATTCATGCTAACACTCCTGACGGCTTTGATGTTCTTGGTTCATGATGTCTGACATTAAGTCAACATGAAATCCAGTATGTGTCAAATATCAGTTCAGTCATTGTTTCAGGCTGCTGTTGAAACTGATGCAGCGTTTATAAAACATTAATGCATCAATAATGCGTCATGGAAATTACAGAAAATGCAGACGACTTCTCAAAGTGGGAATGCAATGATGCATCAAATGAAGCTTAACTAGATCGTTTATTTCACTTCACAAAATGAGCAGCAACCATTTTTGACTGAACTGAACTTTTCCTGATGCACTTAATTTTCCTTCCTTCTATTTCAGCTAGTTGCCAAATAAAAACTAAAACTTAATAAACTTAATATAGACACATATAAAAATTTAAAAAAACAAACAAACAAAGGAATAAAATAAACTTTAACTGAAATAAAATCAAATCAAATATTTATTAAAAAATTTAATAAATAAAAAAAAAAGCATTAGTTTATTTCAGGTAGTTGCCAAAAAAGTTATGCTAAAATAACTAAAACTGAAATAAAATTAATAAAAACTATAAAGACATATAAAAAAAAATTAATAAAGTAATACAATTTAAAAAACTAATAAAAATGAGAAAAACACACAAAACTTTACCTGTTAATGGGAATAAAATAAAATAAAATATTTTAAAAAGAAAAACTTATTTTATTTCAGTTACAGTTTATTCAGAAAGAGCATTTCTCATTTTCATTTAGTTTAACTTGATGCACTAAAATAATCAAAACTGAAATAAAAAATTAATAAAAACTTATACAGACATATATATATTTTTAAAAAGACAAAAACACACAACAAAACTACTAAAACTTAAAAAAAAGGAAATATAAAAATGACATTTAATTCTAAATATTAACAAAAACTATATTTTTATTTTTACATCTTGAGCAAATCTGAGCCTAGTTTGAGATTTCATATGAATTTTCTAAGAGACACATGTGAGATTACTGGGGCTTTATGAGAATATGAGAAGTGATTCAGATATTTTGACTGGACTGCTTGTAAATCAGTTCCTTTTGCTGTCCTGTACTTCCTTCTCCAGAGGAAGTGAGCGTCTTTCCCTCCTCTCAGGACGTCAGCACAGAGGTCACCATGTCCTCCGAAGACCTTCCTCTGATTTTTGAGCCGTTTGAGGACGTCACGGCGCCCGGAGCATCATCCGGACCGTCTGTCGCCATGACGCCAGCGGCCGTAACCACGGGAGACCCAGAGCTGGAGCGGATGGTGTCCATGGTTACGGATCACATTTCCTCTGACGGCCGTCTCTCAGGAACGCTGGAGATGTCTGGAGCGACAGAGCCAATCACAGAACCCCATCCGGAAGCAGAGCATTATGGGACGACACAACGTGAGAATATATAACAGAGCGCAGCAGTGATGGCATATTTCTGGAGCATCACTCTGATTCCCTCGACTAAAACCCAATAGGATTTTTCTATTGGCTTTTGGATTATTGCAGAAAAGAAGCTCTGTGACCAATAAGAGTTTGAGTCATCCTAATAGTCTTCACAGAATTAAAGGAATAGTTCATCTGAAAAATACAATCTGCTGAAAATGTGCTCACTCTCAGGCCATCCGAGATCAGGATGAGTTTGTTTCTTCATCAGATTTGGAGAAATTGCATCACTGTCTCACTGCAAGTGAATGGGTGCCGTCAGAATGAGAGTCCAAACAGCTGATAAAAACATCACAATAATCCACAAGTAACCCACAGCACTCCAGTCCATCAGTTAACATCTGGAGAAGACAAAAGCTGAAGCAAATCCAGCATTAAAATACATTGAGTTCATAATGAGTCCATAATCCATAATAACGCTTCCTCCAGTGAAAAAGTGCATCTGCTGTTGTCTCTCACATCAAAATCCAGCCACATATTTGTTTAGAGCTGTTTAAATGCTGCTTGATCTGTGCAGATTTCTCTCCTGATTCACACCAGAACACTTTTTCACTGGAGGAAGCGTTATTATGGATTATGGACTCAATGTATTTTAGTTAAAAACGTCTTAATGCTGGATTTGTTTCAGCTTTTGTCTTCTCCAGATGTTAACTGAGGGACTGGAGTGCTGTGGATTACTTGTGGATTATTGTGATGTTTTTATCAGCTGTTTGGTCTCTCATTCTGACGGCACCCATTCACTGACACTTGTTAGCAACCACCTTTTTTCAACAGCTTTAAAAAAAATCACAAGCTGGTTTTACTGATGTATTTTTTGCGTTAGAATAACTGTGAAATATCTTGAGCTTGTGCTCAACACAGACCTCATTTCAGGCATTTAACCAAAAACCCAAATCCCACTGACTTCAGGACGACGGAACTGAAAGTGCTAAAATGCTTGTTTCATCCCTCTATACACACAATATGTGCTGTTTAGAAACATAAACTTTAACTTCTGATATAGATTGTTGATATTCTGAAAATGCTGTTAAGTTACAAAAGCTCATATACAGTGTTCTGATTGGTCCAGCAGGTGATGATGTCACACAGAGCTCCGTTACCCATCAGGCTTTGACGGTCTCTGAGCTCGTTCACTTACCAGCGTCAAAGACGGAAGATCCCGAATCGAAAGGTTTGTATGTGTGTTTAAAGCAGCGGCGCTGGTGTCTGACGCGTGAGAGCTGAACGACTCTGTCTTACAGAGGACCCAGATGAAGATGAGGAGGAAGAGGAGATGGACTCTGATGAGGAGGAGAGCGAAGAGGACCTGACAGAGAGCACCGTGGCCCCTCACACCCGTCTGCCGTACAGCCTGATCCCTCCTCCTCCCGTCTGGGTGCAGCGGAACCAGGGCCTGGGTGAGAGTCACGCGCCGGGCTCACGTTAATCTCATCTGTACGTCAGCATTAATAAACAGACTTCGTTCTCTGTTTGTTGTTTGCAGTGAGGAGCTGGGTTGAACTTATCAGAGAGAAGGTACGACTCATTTGTTTTCATATTGATGCAACACTGGAAAAATGCTAGAGCTGCAGATATGCACTACCAGATTATTTAATGCTTCTGAAAGAAGTCTCTTCTGCTCACCGAGGCTGTATTTATTTGATTAAAAATTTTGAAATATTTTTACTATTCAAAACAGCTGTTTTCTATGTGAATATCTGTTAAACTGTAATTTATTTCTGTGATCAAAGCTGTATTTTCAGCATCATTACTCCAGTCTTCAGTGTCACATGATCTTCAGAAATCATTCTAATATGCTGATCTGCTGCCTGAGAAACATTTCTGATTATTATCAATGTTGAAAACAGTCGTGCTGCACAATATCTTTGTGGAAACCGTGATACATTAACATAAAAAAAAAAAACATTTATTAATTAAGGAGGCGTTAAATTGATCAAAACTGACAGTAAAGACGTTTAAAATGTTACAAAAGATTTCTATTCCAAATAAAAACTGTTCATCTGTGGATCCTGAAAAATAAAACGTATCACAGTTTCCACAAAAATAATAACGTTTTCAACAGAAATGTTTCTTGAGCAGCAAATCAGCATATTAGAATGATTTCTGAAGATCATGTGACACTGAAGACTGGAGTAATGATGCTGAAAATACAGCTGCGCATCACAGAAATAAATTACAGTTTAACACATATTCACATAGAAAACAGCTGCTTTACATTCTAATAATATTTCAGAATTTTTACTGTGTTTTTGATCAAATAAATGCAGCCCTGGTGAGCAGAAGAGACTCTTTCAGAAGCATTAAAGCTCTCCGCTGGTCTCTCGTAGGCTGGTTATGTGTCGGGGATGTTGGCTCCGGTCGGGATTGGAATAGCCGGAGCTCTTCTGCTGGTCGGCGCTCTGTACAGCATCAGAGTGATCCATCGCAAGAGGAGGAACAGCTTCAAACACCAGCGGAGGAAGGTACGGCGCTCAGAGTCCAGCATAACCTCAGAATCACAACTTCTGGATGTTTGCCATCATACCAGCTCCTGAAAGCTTCAGTAGATTCATCTTTCATGCACTAGTGATTTTTCAAATCTTGTGATTTCTGTGCAACGTTGATGATTTCCAGCCTCCCAGAGAAGTGCGCAGCGGACCAGACAACGCCATGCTGCTGGCTGACAGTTCAGAAGACGAGTTCTGACCAGAATCCTCTGTGGATCAGTCCGGATGTGAACAGCAGCGGTTTAGTGTTTCACACAAATACTGATGAGAATATACAGTCAGTACATTTATAAATGGAGTTTTCTTTCAGAATCACAAAAAGAAGCTTTTTTTCTTCAAGCATTAACACTCTTTGAGAAACTGTATGTAAAATGAACATTTAAGATAATCAAAAACAGCATTATTTCAGTATCATTGACATGATATTATAAGTTTTAATAATATTTTGAATCACTTTTTATTTCTATATTTTCTGTTTTCATTTTTTTTAAATTATATATATATATATATGTGTGTGCGTGAGTGTGTGTG